CCGGATCGATTTTTAAAATATTGGTTGAAATTAATTAATTTTTTTTAAAATTTTCCAATTCTTAAACATGTTTAATAATTATAAAATTTTCAAATTTTTTATATTTTGAATTTGATTACTTTTTTATTCTAAATTTATTTATTTTAGTGACAGATAATGCTATAAAAATATTTTACCGATTCAATTATTTATAACAAATCGAATTAGATTGTTATCGGATCGGATTGACCTATATCCATATTTGATTCATTTAATTAACGGATTATCGGATTCGGATCTTGATCGGGTTATCGAACTGAAACTCTAGATTCATCTCCCATTAATTTCGTCGGATTCGGATCAAATTTCAATTCATTGACAACACATAATCCCAAGTCTTGTATTGGTGGCAGTTGAGGAGACTTTCATAACACTGAGCAGTACAATAAGAGTTAAATGGAGAATGCAAAAGGAGAATATAGATGCTACAAGGGCGAGAAAAGGAGCGATGAAAGAACAGGGAAAACTGAGAGCACGTATTAAAATATCAACGGAAAAGGACACCATGTTTTTGGAAAATGTACAAGAAATTTCCTCAACACACGCGTGAGCCAGACTATTGTGTGACAAGTGACAAATAATAATCAGGATGATACATAGCAGCAATTTAACTTTTAAAAAACATTTTTTAGAATTAATTATTAATTCCAAATAAAATCTTAAAATTCACTATTAAGCCCCTGTTCGGTAATTATTAAAATTTGATTTTAATTCAAGTCAAAATCAAACAATCAATATTAATCACATATTATAGGTCCCACAGCTTTTCAACCACATATTTCAAAAACTTTTATCACAATCTACTAAAAATCTAATTGTAATCCCCACCAAACACGTAGTAATTCTAATTGCTTAACTTAATCAAGAAAAAAATTATTCATTTTCTTTTACATGAGTGATGCTATGTGTCATCACTTATGAGCATCATCATCTTTAAAAGGGTTTATCATATTAATTTTCTTGGTGCCTATACATGACATTCTATAAACAATGTATCTCAAAAGAGAGCTGCTATATTTGTGGGCCCTCCTATTGTGAGGGGGCGGTCGAGGGGGTTGTATAACCCCGATACAAGAAGAATAATTCATCTCAAAATTTCTTTGCAATTGGTAGTTAAAAACTGATCATTGACCTTACACTAAATAGTTGATTCTTTCACTATAAATATTCTTTACTAAGTTAGCTTCTATCACCCAATTCTACCACCACCATAATGGAAGCCTCAACTTGGACTCCATTTGTGGCAGCATGGTTCACTATTTTGGCTCTCTTCCTTTTCTCAAAATTTCTTCGCCGGAAAAAAATCAACTTACCTCCCGGCCCGAAACCATGGCCCATAATTGGAAATCTCAACCTCATAGGACCCCTCCCCCACCGTTCTTTACACGAACTATCCCAAAAATATGGCCCCTTAATGCACCTCCAGTTCGGCTCCTTCCCGGTGGTAGTCGGATCCTCCGTCGAGATGGCCAAGATTTTCTTAAAAACCATGGACGTCACTTTCGCATCACGGCCCAAAACCGCCGCCGGAAAATATACCACCTACAATTACTCCGACATAACCTGGTCCCCTTACGGCCCGTACTGGCGCCAGGCCCGAAAAATGTGCCTGATGGAATTATTCAGCGTCAAAAGACTTGAATCATACGAATACATTCGGGCCGAAGAAATGAATTCCCTGCTCAAAGAACTTTTCAAATCCGCCGGAAAGCCCGTTTTGTTGAAAGATTATCTTTCAACAGTGAGTTTGAATGTGATTAGTCGAATGGTTTTGGGGGAAAGGTATTCGGATCAATCGGAGAATTCGATAGTTTCGCCTGAAGAATTCAAGAAGATGTTGGATGAACTTTTTTTGCTTAACGGGGTTTTTAATATTGGGGATTCAATCCCTTATATTGATTTTCTTGATTTGCAAGGATATGTTAAGAGAATGAAAACTGTGAGCAAGAAATTTGACGGGTTTTTGGAGTGTGTTCTTGATGAACATAACGCCAGAAGAAAAGCAACTGAAAATTATACAAGCAAAGACATGGTGGATGTGTTGTTGGAACTTGCAGAGGATCCTAATTTAGAGGTCAAGTTGGAGAGGCATGGAGTCAAAGCATTTACACAGGTATGGATTCTTGAATCTAGATTCATTATTCTTCACTAGTTTTCTGATTTTGCCTCGATTGTGTACCTCTCTTGCAACTTGCATCGAAAGAGTATGTTACCTCCTAAATGTCAAGTCAACTATTGTCTTTCAACACAATTGTTTTCAATCATGCCTGATCTATACCATGGTTTTACACTTGGCACGCGACAAAACATTATTGGACAATTTTAACCAATGATTGCTTGACAACAATGGTAATGTCAAGCATGATATAAAAAAAAGGATGTACTAGTGACATTATTCTTTTTTATTTATTTATTAATATCATAGCTCTAACAATTTTCTCTTAGCTATTCTTCGAGAATACAAACAAAAATAGTGACTCTAGAAATAAGACACTGATAAAATTCCTTAGACAGTTTTTCCTTCAGAGTCTAATCGTCAAATTATTTTTACTTGCACGGCAAATCTGATTATCCTATGGTCAAGCAAGTTGTTCCATGTACTCCAAAGTGCTAATTATGGACGTGATGTCGAAAATAGACCGATTTTATATACTCTTTCCATTCTAATCGGTAAAAAAAAATGTCTCTTCTATCTTCTACTTTTTAAGCTTAAAAGAATATGAATAAGTTGTATTAAATTCTATGAATATCTATAATTACAAACATAAGTACCCTATTTATAGGAAATAAAGATTCTATACAAAATTAAGTATGAAAAATTGTGTGATATATTGTAATCTTAAATAACTTGATGATATATTTAGGACTTGCTCGCGGGTGGAACTGAAAGCTCTTCCGTGACAGTGGAATGGGCGATTTCGGAGCTCCTAAAGAAGCCAGAAATATTCAAGAAGGCTACGGAGGAACTTGATCGCGTAATAGGCCGGGAAAGATGGGTAAAAGAGAAAGATATCCCGAGTCTCCCTTACATTGAAGCTATTGTTAAAGAAACTATGAGGCTACACCCGGTGGCACCAATGTTGGTACCCCGTCTAGCACGCGAAGACTGTAAGGTAGCTGGCTACGACATTCAGAAAGAAACCCGAGTTCTTGTAAATGTATGGACGATTGGAAGAGACCCTGAAATCTGGGAAAATCCAAACGAATTCTGTCCTGAAAGATTCGTTGGGAAAAATATCGATGTTAAGGGGCAAGATTTCGAGCTTTTGCCATTTGGTTCTGGTAGGAGGATGTGCCCTGGATACAGTTTGGGACTGAAAGTGATTGAATCAAGTTTTGCTAATTTATTGCATGGATACAATTGGAGATTGCCTGAAAATATGAGGCCTCAAGATTTGAACATGGAGGAAATTTTTGGGCTTTCCACTCCAAGAAAATTCCCACTCGTTACTGTAGCTGAGCCTAGGCTTCCATTGGATCTTTATTCTCTGTGATTTCTGCTTGTAATCTCTATTAAATCTGCGAGCAGGTTATTGCCCTATGTTAGGATTGAGCCCTAATGGATCCATAATAACTCGAATGAAATCTGAAAACATCTAAATTTATAATAAAGCATTTTACTTTTTGATGCTAAAACTTCGTGTGCTTTTTTTTAATGGAAGGAGGGCGGTACCTCCGAAATTTTATTAAACTATCCTCACTTCGTGTGCTTGATGCTGCATGTTTTCATTATAATGGTCTTGCACCTTTTACACACAAAATTGGCCTATTAAAAAATCCATTATATTATAAGAACATTATGGTGACCATATACATGTATAGAATATTTGATCAATAATACTAGTGTTACGGTTACAAATGTACGGGGACTCATGTTCTGTCCAATTTCTTTGGCATCTTCGTACCCCAATTCGGTTATGTAACTTACAAAACAAAAGTTTGCAATTCTAGTGATAGTGAAGAGTACTAACTCTTGGGAATAGTTAAGGGCAAATCTATATACACATATGGAATATCCTTTGATTGATGATGAACATGTACATGAAACAGATATCATCGCTTGTTAGCTAGTTTCTTGGCACGAAGCCTGTACTTGTGGATTCAATGGTATAAGAAGAGGGACTTCCTTTGCAGCTCAAATTGAAGTAACAAATACTATTCTTAAAGTAGTAGATCAAGGCATGCAATGAGCAGAAGTTAAGATAAAAAGTCTCGATCTATAAAAAGATGCAACATTACTAGTTACCTATGCCACATAATGACTGTAGAACCTAGAAAAAGATGCGTGTAAAAATGTAGAATCAAGAAATTCGAAAAAAGTAACTATAAAATATGTTTAGACTCGTCATGTTGAACACCGTGTCAATGCAGATCAATGACAAAAAGCTTTATGGGTATCAATCTTTTTAAACCACAAGGCAAAGATCAAGGGGAGACATGAGAATGATTAGCATTTATAGGGTGGACAAAAGCTACCGAGTTAAGTGATGGAAGTGACTAGGATGTAGCAACGTGCATCGGCGAGAATCAATATTATTTTTTGCACTCGATTGGGTGGACAGTAGATCAGAAGAAAACATAGAGAAGTGACAAGGATGTAGCAACGTGCATCGGCGTGATTCTATTGTATTTTTTGCACTCGATTGGGTGGACAGTTGATCAGAAGAAAACTTAGTTCACCCAATCAACGGTGGGTAGCGTGCTTGTCTTGTGAGTAGCTCTTCTAGGTGGGCAATTGTGGGACAAGACTATAGGGAAGCAGTTGAATTGTGACTCTTATGTCCTAAGGAATTAAGATGTTGTTTGATAAAGTTTTTAACAGATTTTGATAAAAATTAAAGTAATGTGTGGTTGAAAATTGAAAAAATTTATGAATATCATGAAATATACTATTAAAATTAAAGTTCATTCAATTGAAAAGTCCATAAAATTTAAAAGAAAAATCACACAAGCGCTAAAACTCGATTTTGTGGGCTTACGTTCACTTTAGAAATCATCAAGCAATTTATAAACTGTGTTTTACTTGAGGCTAAATATATTCAAACCACGGTTTTCAATAATCAACTATATCTTAATTGTATGAAATGTTCATAATCTTTACATAGTATTACATTTGTGTCTCAATAAGTAAAACAAATAATAATGTAAAAATACGATTAAATATTTGACCCTCATTTTAAAGCATATTAACAATATTATTGGGCGAAAACCTTGATTAAGGACAAACATTTTTGATTAATGAAATAGTAAAAATAAAAATGCGGTGAAGAAAAAAATTAAGCAGGTTTGATAGGGGTTTGCTCAGGAAAAGTTAAAGAGAGAGGAATAAATAGTATCATCCTTGTTTTGTTAGTGAATTATTGTTGTACATAAACTATGTTCTCGAGATTTGAGATTCCATCTTTATTAATATCCATTGTAAAATGATGCTGTATTGGAATCAAAGGATATTATAAAAACAACGAAAAGTATTTGATGAGACAAATCAGGCAATCACTATCATACATAGTCATGTCTCTACTCAACGGTGACAAGCACGGGACATCAACTTGATGGACAAATCAGGCAATCACTATCATACATAGTCACGCCCTAGATGCTCAACGTGTCTATTAATTTAAATTTAATATATTTATAATTATATTAAGTTTCCATTAAATTATACAATGCATTTATTTTTACTTGCTTTTTGATTGAGCTTATATTTCTTTAATACTTCCAAATCTAAGTATCTAGATTTGGGAGTGTTACATCTAATATCTTAGATCGAGTGTGAGAACCTCAATAGGTGGGACAACCTAAAAAGTGTAGAAGAAAAATGAGTACGAATATTTAAGGGGACTCGAGAAGTAAGAATGGGGTATGTGAACCCTATGGTTATGATGAATTATTATGGTAAAATTCAAATAAAAATAGTAATTTCGGTTTAAAAAAAAGTGCTCTTTTTGTTTTATGAAACAAAACGATTTCTTAGAAAAAGATGATGTGGGCCTAATAAAAAACTTAGTAACTCTCTAAAGTTCTTATATTTTAAGAATTCTAATATAAAATCAAATGATAAGCTATAGCTAATGTTATCTTTAAACTCTATGAAACATTGATTGAATATGTATAACACTAGTACTATTCATTCGTGACATAAATGTATTTGTTGATTAATTGTGACTGCTATTCACGTGCAACAAAACTTACTTATAAGTTATACCAAACGTACTCTTGAGCTCTTTCGAGTTTGGTTACTTGGTACAGGGAGCGACATTTAAAGGAGAAAATATTTGTCTCAATCTTTTGATCCAAATTGCAGTTTAATCATATAACATTTTGAAAAAAAATAATATTTACGTCCTTAACCTTTGAATTGTACCATTAGTCTCTAAGCGTAATTTCTGTCTAATCGTAGATAAATCTGGAAAAGAAGCTGGTCTAGATCATTACTTTGACTGGTTTGCAAGGAAACCGATCATAACTCATCCAATCAGGCCAAGTTCTGTATAGAATCGATGAGTCGATTTCTATTTGAGCTGCCGGTCCATAGATTTCTTTATCAAATTTTTTTGTCATTGTGATTGGATGGGACTTCAAACCTAGTTCCTCCTTAATTATTGTGATTAGATCTGTGAACCACACTTGTTTACTGTAACTTGCTTGTTTATCATCTAACTCCAATTATTTCGATGTTACATTTTTATTTAATTATAACTTTTTCTACCCAACTTATATAACTTAATCAAAAGTATTGTTCAAGTTGAATTTATTGAATATTCATATTAATATAAATAATTGTAAGAAATTCACAAACTGCAAAACCATAAAATAAGAATGTGAAAATCAAGATAAATGACAATAAAAAATTGAAAAACGTGGAAAATAACATAAATACAAAAATAAAAATACTAGAAAGTAAGAAAGAAGACAAAGGAAAATAATTGTAATGAAGGTCCTCAAATTTTGCTCATCTATACACTTTATGTCCTCGACTTTTTCATCGCATTGTTATCCCCAATCTTCTATTAATTACAACATCATGTCTTTGATGACAGTCTCTATTCAAAAAATGTGTTACGAGGCATGCAAAGTCATATTTACCATCATATTTTTAAATAAGCAAAAAAGTAACAAATACAAAAATACGACAAATTATTTGCCCCAGTTTCAAAGAAGCTAATAAAATATTTAACCATAGCTCTTTATCTTTTTCTAATCAAATATAGACAGAATTTGATGAGAATCATGGAGGGTAAACTTGCATAATCCATTGTGTTCCAAAGAGATCGATAACTAGGTCAAGAACAAATAAGATCAAAGAAACCATGCAAGGACTTGTTCGAGCTACTAAGTCGAGAGTTCAAGTACAACGAGAAAGACACCTAGTTTCAAGATAAGCATGAAGGAAGAAGGATCAAACTTAGTGCATTTGATTCAAGCTAAAGAGAAATAAAGAGGATGTACGAAAATGAGCATAACTTTTACCTCGGTCGTTGGATTTTCGTTCATGAGTACAATCCAATTTTTTTTTTATTCTGCACATATATGTCACGTGACGTTGTCCAAATTTTAGGGTCAAATTTCTATAAAAAGAACAACACATTATTTTGAGAGATTAATTATGAAGTGAAATTTTGGCTTTCATTCTTATTCTTAATTAAACTATCTAGAACTTATCAAAGATTTGTAATCTTTGTAGCGCTCTAACATTTCAACCTTAGTTCTCGATTCAAGAAATCATTGGATCAAGATTCTTCGTCTGATTTTAGCTTTCTTGTGGTTCATATCAAAACTTTTATGGGTTCCAAAGTATATCCTGCAATGGGAATCACATCAGTTGGTAAAAGAGTGAGGGTGTGATAAGTGTAGTTTCTACACTTATTCGAGACTCTAAATGATGATATTTTATTATCATTTGAATAAAATTCTACCTAATTTATATTATATTGCATTTTGTACGTAAAACCTTATGTATGATGAAGAATTGGAGAAAAGAATGCAAAATAGAGAAAAAATGGCAAAATCCAAAATACGAGGACTAAATTGGTTGATCATACTTTGAAAAGTGAAGGACTTAAAGGATAATATAAAATTAATGGCTTTGAATTGGAGTTCCATAATTAAAAAAAAAAAAAGGGGGAATTTTCAAAAATGTCACTATGAAAATCCAAAAAAATTTGTCATTTTCACTTTTTGTGAGCAAAAATATCACTTTTTTGGTTCAAAATATTCAAAATATCCTTAATACCACCTTTTTAGGAGCATTTAATA